GTCATCATTTCTGCTACACTGGCAGGGCTAGGGGCCAGGACTCTCCTCTTCGGGTTTTTGGGGGATGTTGCTAACTCCGGGTCCAATAACAGGCAACCCACCCGCAGTAGATGTGCTCGGTGTGAGGTCTCGCAGCAAGCTATCAAATATGGCGCATTTCTTGGCTTTAAAAAAAACCCCGCTATGCGTCGCCAGGTGTTTCATCAGATTCAAGGTGTTACCTCCTTTGACAGTATCAGCTTAAAGCACTTGTTGCAGGCTGCTGAGTTTGCATCTTTTGCTGTGAAGTACAGCCAGACTTTTGACCGCTTTGCCTTGGGCATTTTTAATCTGTAGCTCTGCTCTAAAAGAACGTACGTAGCTGGGCCCGCCTACTATCCTTGGAAAGGTAAAATGATTGGCTAGAATTCAAAGTGTATGACATCTCAGGGGGAAAAAGCACCGAAATGTGCGCTGCTTTACGGTCTGGTTACTACCGTTTATGTCGGAACCGGTGCCATAATGGCACCGGATACCGGTACCCATCCCTACAGCCACCAGGAGTGAGCCGGTGTGTACCTGGACGCCCATCCCCAGGGCCGTGCAGATCGTAGTAGTTTAAAGGGGCGGGGGGGATGCCTCACATCCTTCACAATGTTATTTGCCTTACTCCATCCATGGTCCCTATAAATGCTTTCTAAGCTTGGTAATGCAATTCCCAACAGCTTACTACCTTGTGCTGCTGTCTTGCCTCAGAAGCATTTTCAAACCAACAAATGATACAGCAAGTAAACACAATTTCAGTAAAGGCACAAGAAAACGTGATGCATTTTAAAATCTGCTTAGAAAGACAAAAGTTTCCTTGAAAACGATGTTCTTTGTTGTGTCTTACTATCCACGAAGAGTCCTGTTTCAGTCTATAGTCAAGCACAACTCAACTCCAGGGAGCTACTCATGTGCATGTTTGTGACCAAACTGGTGGTCCAAATGATGCCAGGAGGATGCCTGGATGTTGCTTTTTAGAGGTTTTCTTGTTGTTGCCTCTCCTGTGCACCTCTTGTTACTTTAATGTACTTTAATGGATTCACACTGGATAATACTTCCTACAAAAAGCTCCAAATCCTTTCCCAGTAATTGTTGACCCCGTTGTCATTCAAGTGAAACCTTCACATCTCTGTCTCTCATAGAAGAGCTGTTTGCTCTCATCCATGACAGCCTGGGAGGTAAAAATACTCCAAAGGTTCTACGAAGCCTCAGCTGCTACACTCAGGAGCACAGGACATAATTAGCCGAGAATTATGGATACGGGGCTTCAGCAGCTCCAGCTTAACCAGTCAGAACCTAGAGATTGTTTCGTCACCACCGTTGCCTGGGTAACGGGTGATGTAAGCCGGCGCTGGCGTGTTTTCTTTGACTAAGCAGAAAAGAGACCGTCTGAGATTGATTTTGTGTGTGTGTGTGTCAAGGCTGAGTTGTTTGATCACTGAGTCATGCTCAGTCAGTCATGCATAGTCAGGGAACAGACTCTGCTGCTAAGAAAACAGTCCAGTACTTTTTTTTTTTTTTCAACGTCTAAACCAAGTTTCCAGACGTGGTTTATTGGGAGCTTGTTTGCTTTGAGCTGTTCAAACATTGTCCCCGTTTTACAGGGCTAATTTGGGCTGTTTTTTATTGTTTGTTCAAAATGCCTCTTAGGACATTGAGGAGTGATGCATGAGGAATGTTAAAAGCCCGTACTGAGATTGTGTTTTTGTGTGTGTGTCTTTAGGTACAACCCCACCAAACTAAGCAAGAGGAGATGAAATGCCTTCGTTTCAACATCCTCCAGAGGGGATTCATTTCAGAGGTACAGGAAGTATCAGCCCTGTGTGGAAGGACTCTAACTTCATGTATCTCTTTATGTTTGTATTTCATTTGTAAGTCATTGTTTTGGTTGCTGTTCCTGTTCTGTTTTTTGTTTTTTTTAGCTCGTCTAATTAAGCCACTGACAGAGGAAATGTAACCAAAAAAATAGTCGCATGTTCTGAGTTTTTTTTTTTTCCAGTTTTTATTTGTCAATAATAAAAAACATGGCATACAAAACATTAAAAATGCTTCAGTTGTACAAGAGAGCTTCAAAACTCTACATGCTGAAAGCAGCTTTTCCTTCACTTTGAAGTTTAAGACCCAATGTGTTCCCTGGTTTTAGCAGAACTACAGTAGAAACTCCAGAGAGATTCAAGTGTTACCGTTTCTTGAGCGATCTCTAGAGAGCCGACCTCGCAGGCACTTTACCAGATATGAGACTGTTCAGATAAAGAGTCCTCGTGCCAAGCATTTGTTGGCCTTTCTGTGCAGATAACTAAATCCTACCTGCCCCCACATAATCACAGATAGTGTGGCTTATAAGTTAAGGGTTAATTTGGCATTCAGCATGAATTGTGCAATAACAGAAGTTGTTTTTTTTTTTAGTGGGCTACAGTGTGGCAAAAGTAGTCAGGAGACTGCCTTCAAACACAATTTGAAATAATAAGGTTACATAGCTTAAGTTTTTGATTCCTAAGTTACCTTTTGAAATCTGTACAAGTCTGAACAGAAAATATAAATAATCTTGTTGCTTTAGAAGCTATGATCAGGTGTGTCTTACCCTGATGTAACAGCCTCATATTTTTCTCTTTAAGTAAAGACAGTAATCTCCATTTTTGAGTCATTCAGCCCCCTGTGTCGTCCTTAAATTCACTCTTCTCGTCCTCGTAGCTTTACTGTCTGTTAACTCAGCAGCTGCTGCTAGGCAAAAGGTCATGCCTGCATGCATATATTTAATATTTATATCAAAACAGTAGTCCAAGTACATGAAAATAGTTCAAGGGTATAACTCAGGTGGAACACAAGTATCAACATTTTCACTAGTTAACTGTTATATGAGTGTCAAAACAGTACTGCTTTAAGCTATTCTGTTAGTGGAAAAAGTAATATGACTACGTTACATCTTATTTAGTAATGCATTGCCCCCGACGCTGACTTATTTTGTACTGAAGGGGGGCACATCACATCACAGTAAAGAAAGCATGAGCTGTGCGTGAGCGGCAAAAAAAAAATATTCATGCACATTATTCAGACAGGGATTAAATTAAAAACAGGAATTAAAAATTGATTGCTATGGTCACTTTTTAATAACCTTTCTCTTATTTGGCACTTAACAAAACAGTCATGGCTGTCTACTGTGATAGTGTAATGGTAAATGGGCAGACATGAGGTGCAATCAAAAAGTTCTAGGACTGCGCTTGTAAAAATCAAAATGCTTGCTTGACTTAAATTTGGTCTATATCCCCCTTCAGGGTTAACTTCCTGTGCGCCGCTGGGCTGCTGTCAGTTTGACGTTATTTTTAGGTCGCTTTGTAGCGGTGTCAATTTTGTTAATAAATAATTTTTAGTTTTTGTAAATAATCTTCTTCTTTCTGACAAAAACTTGGGGTTCGGGTTTGCATGGTTCGGGTCTCACTCCTCACCTGATGCTCTACTTCTGAGCTTGGAAACTATGGACTCTACAGTGACATCTGCAGGATTGTACTCAGACATGAGTGAAGTTGGTTTAAACAGAGATTTTGAAGCTTCGTGAAATCACAGACTTTGGACTCTCAAGAAAATATTTAAAAACAGCGCCCTGGAGATGTGCAAGAAGAGGATCTTGAAGGAGAGATCTTTATTTTGTTGTTGTTGTTGTTGTTGCTTATGAGCCCACCCCAACTGGTCACGGCAGATGGCCGCCCCTCCCTGAGCCTGGTTCTGCTGGTTTCTTCCTGTTAAAAGGGAGTTTTTCCTTCCCACTGTCGCCAAAGTGCTTGCTCATAGGGGGTCATATGGTTCTTGGGTTTTTCTCTATTGTAGGGTCTACCTTACAATATAAAGCCTTGAGGTGACTTTTGTCGTAATTTGGCGCTGTATAAATAAAAATTAAAATTGAAATATGTGCAACTGTTTGATTGTACCATGTGGACATGTATAAAAGTAGAGCTTTTAGCAGTATAGCTCTACGTGTCAATACAATTTAGGAAAACGGCAGTGAATATTTGACCCGTTTGGTGGATCATGTTTCACACCATTAGTAAAAATCTATTAAATTAATATAATGATAGCTCAGTATTAAATCCTGATATGAGATTATGTAGTAGGCTTTTTAGCCCTTTAAAACACCATCATCAAATTACATAAATGCAAATGGATTAAATTTTTAAATAAGAAATACTGGATGGTATAACTGTAAAAGTGTGTATTCTGCTGTTTTAAAGCTCTTTAGCTCCATATGGCTTTAGATTAGGGTAAGCTAGTGTTTATTCTGCCCAGATTTATTTTTTAAAAGTGCAGTAAGTATTGTAATTCTGGTATTTGAATAAATACATTATCAAGGCGAGACTCATTACTCTTTTAGCGAGATTTGAATTAATAATATATAATTGCCATTTATTTTCAAGGGTAAAGTTAAAGACTCATACTGGTGTTTCTTATTTTTTTTCCTATTCAGTGAATGTTTTCTTAAATAATTCTCTGAGTAAAGATAGGAAGCGTGCATCTAAACAAAAATAATGTTAGTTTTTGGCTGAGGTGTTTCACACACTGACTTTGACAATACTTAAAAAGGAGAAAAATGTGAAACACCAGAATGAGCTTTTAATAAACCTAAGTTTTTCCATGATATTTGAGTCCAAACAGTAAAATTAGCAGTGGATGTGCAAGAATACATTCAGATCTACTTTAAATTATTTGCATAGAAAACCTTGGAGAAGCAGTATAACTGAAGCAACAGGTCAAATTTATCAGACTATAGCTCCAACTACCTGCAATAGCAGCTAAAAGCAGAAACTCCCGTAGCAGGCTCAACAATCAGGAACATTAGGACTTCTGAAGCCTCAGTCACACTAGAGTAAAAATATGATGGCAACCTCATTACAACAAGGAAAGATCTGTGGTCACTGGTGATTGGGTTTAATTATTTTTCTGTCAGCAACCAAGTGGAGACCCAGAGGCTGAGCGTTGAACATACTAAACTTCTAGCAAGGTGGCTGCGCAGGTTGCCATGTGGTGTTTTAAGTTCTGAATTCACTAAATTACATTGACAGGTATAATAAATACTCTGACAGGGTTCAGAGTAAATAGGTGGTTCCTGGATTATTTTTCATTGAACAAACCCCCAAAACATTCCCCTCAGTTTTTTTCCCCATATTTCACACCCTGCATTGGATAATCTGGAGAGCCCTGATATGATGCCGACACCTCCAAAGCCCCAACAGATTCTCATTCTGGATGGCACCACCATCCAGAATGAGAATAAATATTTTAGTGGCAACAGATTTGAGACTTTCACCGATTTTTCACAGTTTATCTCTGTATTATCACAAACAAATTGCGCATGATTTCCTTCTTGACCCAAACTGATCCCAGATTGGCTCGGTCACTCACAGAGTTGCTTTGAACACATCATAGAACAAACACTACTTGTGGCTGAATTCCAGTTTGTAGGTTTTGTAAGTCGGACCACAAAACCATCACTTACATCAGTAAGTTGGATGGGAATTAACAAGTGTCCTTTATTTTTTAGTTTTCCCTACAAGCTAAGCTAAAAAAGATTTAAAGCATGATACAACATCGAGTTAAGCATTGTTAGTAGATGAATTGAAGACACATGGTGAATGAATAAATAACCCTGATGAGTGTAAGGTCCTGTTCAGTTATGAGGTTACAGACTGACTAGAAAACGTTGGCACACAGTAGCTTGGACATATGGGGACTTCACATGAAGTCAGAAAAGACTCTTGAAAGTTGTCTTTTGTTTCGTTAGAAACAAATTAAAGTACAACCATTGTCTTTTTTTGGTCTTAAAAAGTTGTAAAAATGCTTTAGCTTTGATGAGAAAACACTGCATTAATGAAGAAAATATATTAAAAGTTTCTCCTCACCTTTTATATCATGGTAAAAGGGTTTGAAATGTGTGCCCTAAGATCAACGTGTCAAACTCTTTTCCTCATCGTGTTTTCACATTATGTTGTTTCCTCCGTTGCTGATGAGCTTCCCTTTCTTCTTGAGTCTCTTCAGCAGACAGGAGGCGATGCCTAACGCGCCACCCTTCAAAAAGCGAACAAAGTTGTCACCCACCAGTGGCCCCATGGCAAACAGACCTGGCTCCTTGGTGCACTCGAAAGTGTAGGGGTCGATATCTATTGGATTTTGCTTGCAGGAGATGGGTCTTGTTGGATCCTGACCCAGGTACTGGCCTTGCCCCTTCAAGAAAAATAAGTCTGGGTTGGTCCCAATCAGAACCAGGACCATGGAGATCTTGAATGCCTTGAGGGAGTTGTTTCCCTGCAGCAAACACTTCATGTCAGACTGGAAGGACACCACACAGTGTTCGGGGAAACTGGTGTAGTCAGGAAACAGGTTGATACTAGCGTTACCAGCCACATTACCCGCAGCAAGCTGAGGCTTTGGGCACATCTTGGCACATACTGAAGAGGCAATACTAACTGCCTGGGGTCTGTTAGAAACAGAAGAGGGAGCCACGTTTGTGTAAGCCTGAGAGCACATCATGTTGTAGACTTTGTGGTACTCTGGGTACAGTGTCTTGGGAAGCTGCTTAAAGATGAGGTCTGAGTCGTCGATTCTCTTGCGAAAAACATGCAACACTCGAATGTTGCTGTTGCAAGCACACAGAACTGCATCGGCAGCGCTTAAACCAGCACCCACGATTAGAACGGGATCGGAGTTCTTATCCAGTTTCCTCTGGCTAACTGCCAAGCCTAGGTCTGAGATACTGTGGGACACAAAAGGCAGATCCTCCCCCTCTACACCCAGTCGAACTGGTGAGTCGGAAGCACCGGTGGCCAGGACTACATTTTCAGCAAACAGGCAGAAAGGGACGTGAGTGTCGTTCTGCACCTGCTGGTATCCCCTTACTTCCCAGAGAGCCCCCCCTCCTCCACTCATTACGCACACTTTTCCATTTCCCTCAAAGCTCTCATTCACTCCATCTCCCACCCCTCCATCTCCTTGATGAGTGTGACCGTTTTCAAGACCTTTTCCCTCATGCCCCCGGTAGAGTTTCTGGATGGAGGTCACGTAGGTGTTGTCAACAAAGTTCTTTTGAAGACCCTTTAGCTTTACATAGTTACAGTAATAGGATGAGATCTCCTCTGGTGTGGCTCTGTCACTGGTTACATCCCTAGAGCAACAACAGAGACAAAGAGGAGCAATAGTACAGAACCGAACTGAAGCTTGACCCATATCGTTGCTGTAAACCTTCTCCTCTGTCATTACCTGCGTTTCCCGTTGGTCAAGTCTTTGTAGTTGACCCCGGGGAGCTCCATCCAGATGCCAAGACTAATAGTCAGCATGGAGCCTTCCATTGCCTGAAGCGATGAGAGAGGGAACGCCATAGATTATACAGGTGAAAACAAAATGGCTGACTTTAAATCAAGATCAAAGTTTGTTACTTACATGCCAAGCACCCCCAGGTGTTCCCCTGCCCAGAACCAGATGTGGGATGTGTTGCTGCTTGTCCCTCCTCCACTGAAGGACAGAAGGGAATTTGTAGCCAAAGTCAGCATTAGGATGCAGGAGTGTGTCGAAAAGCACAGCCACCGGATTACTTGACCTCCCCTCAAGACCTTCACTCAGATATTCCAGATCCTGTAAAAAAAATATATATATATAAATGAGGAAAGTCATGCCTATGAGGTACCAGACTGACTTTGGCCATTTTTAAATAAGCAAGGATTGGTAGTTGCTTTGTTTTTTTACCTGTTCGGTAATGGGTAGATGCTTGGTGTCCTGTAGTTTCCTGTATAATATTGGGTTTGGGTGGACAGTTGCTGGGTCTAAGTACGGCTTGTATCCACTCAGCAGGTAGGACAAACAAATACCCGATGGCCCGTTGCCTAAACATAAATCCACATCTGGGAAATTACAGGATAGCATTGCAAAGAGGCACAAGGTGATGTATAATACATGTTAGGTTGAAATGTGTGCTTTTTAAGCAGTTTTCAAACCTGCAATGAACATCTAGATGTTTATGGAAGAAGGTGCACATGACACAGAAATAGATGAACTGGCCACAAAACCTTTCTTATTGTGCCTACTCAGTGGTTCAAAGTGCACGTGAAGAGGTTAAAGCTCCAGCAATACTTATCATACAAAAAACAACTATATTGCTTGAGTTTTTCATCTTGTTGCGTTTACAAAAAAGGAATGATCCTCACACAGGACCTCCCTATTCTCTTTTTTGTCTTCTGTGAAGAGCATCTTGTCCTGATTTTTCCAACTATTGATTTGTGCCTTAAAATGTGTGCATGATTGAAGGATGTATTAGTTATGTTAAACCAGTGAAAGGTCAGGCAAAAAGTTTACCTATGATGACCACAGGGACGGTGGGTGGGTGCTCTTGTGGCAGAGTGGTCTCTTCCAGGAGAGGCATGGCTGCAGCCTGGGCCAGAGCCGGCACTGAGGAGGACAGGAATAACAGAAATGTGAAGAAAGTTCTAGAAATTTCTGTAGCTGCATCCATTCAGTAGTGAACTAAAAGCAGAGCCTCATTTGTTCTTTGTCCCACTGTTTCCATGTTTCTGGGTCAAATTATTTGAACAGGTTCAAACCAGCATACTGTCTTTTTGTCTGTCAGAGTTGTTGTTGTCTTATGTTAGCTTAGATCCTGTCTCCGTCGACCATCATCAGCTGACTCAGAAACACACACTGGGGGGGGGGGGGCTTTATTCATCCTGTTATTGTGCTTTCACGCACAGCTATGGCCCTCCCTGTCTGTCTGGGGCTTCACACACGTGGAAACACCCCGCCACAACACAGCATGCCCCCAGTTTTTCTCATTGCCGTCCCGCCGTGTCCACAAACCCCACGTCCTACCGCACATGGCCCGGGGCATAGCTAGCCTCTGTTAACCCCGGCACTGCTTTCCAGACAAAAGGGACTTCTAATCAGATTTATGTAGGCCTGGGTCTGTTGTGAAATGTAGCCGTTGAGCATGTGTACTGTGTGTTTGTGTGTTACGCGACAGTGCCATTGTGTGCCCGCCGGGCAGCAAATCCCCCCTGATCACTCCTCCGAGTGGGCCCTAATCCCACTGGGCCTGTTTATGTCTTTACCGCCCCTTTCAATGGCAGCAGGATGAGAATGTGGTCCTGGCATGCTGACAGATCAAATCATCAGAACACCCGCTCCTCTCATAGCCCCCCCCACCTCCACCCCAATATACACACTCACGCTCACTCCCGCCAAAACATTACCCAACGGCTACAGCAAACCAGTGCCCACTTGCCCCACTTTCATACCAACCAAAACAGCGCCCACACCGCCTTTGTACATCCCAAAAGTCTGGCACATGTCCCTTAAAACTCCCCGCCGCCCATACAATCTGACTCAAGTCCAGTCTCCCCCTCTCTCCCTCCCCCCTGTCTGACCTGTGTCTGTAGACCAACCAGTTGTCTTTGGTTGTCGGCTTATTTACCCTCTTCAATAAAAGCAACGGGATTCCACACATTGCATACCGTATCCATGCCCCCAGTTGGCAGACTGATACTGTTCAGGCCTCTGGTTGATCTGACAAAACAAAAACACCCGTGTGTGCAGTTGTTTTCTTTTGTTTGAAATTTCACGCACAAACCAGTGCTTATGTTATCCCACAGTGGATTTATGTTTGATTTTATCAACAGATAACAAATAAAACTGGACAAAAAAATGTAAAAAGCCACTTCCAAGGGCTCACAGAGCACCTGTGCTCTATAATTTCTACATGATGCCACAGCAGCACATTATGCATCATGAGCAAATCATGGAGCTAGATCTGTGGGCTGCATTTACTGTATCTTTGTGATCAGATATAATGTCATTCAGTGCGCAAAAACAAACAAACAAACAAACAAAAAACCCCAGTTCGGATAATCCAAAAACGCCGTTTTAAGTTCAGTGAAACTTCCACAGCACAAGTCCTTAACACAGAACAGACCAACATCCATAGTTTAAACGTGACGATAATAATAATACGCCCCAGGTGTTAGTGCGCTTCATCCTTTTGGGGTTTGTTTTACTCTCTTCCAGCCCGTGTACGCGCCTACGTGTGCGCGTTTGCCAGCGTGTAGGACGCACCATACTTTTCTAGAACATGGTGCACGATGTACTGTTAGCTACCTACCACAAACAACTGAAACTTTGTGTTAAGCCTTTACAGCTTCACAGGAATGGAATGAAAAGCATGCTAAGAAATATTAGTGTGTATAAATCCTTATGTGTACACTACGTCTCACAGCAGGTTTAACTACACCCTCCTCTTTGCAACTTGAGATCATTTTGCACGGACCAGTCTGCATCTCACTTAAGAAAATTAGATTAAATTCAAAACAGGGCCGGGCTGGTTATACACGGTATCCGGGGATGATGCTGCAGCACGCGCTAAAGGATGGAAAGAATGATGCAGCAGTCTGGTACCCGATCGCAAACACCATCCTCATGGACCAGCAGCCTTATATCTTCCACTACACCGCTGACTCCGGGAAGCCTGCGTCCACTGAATCTCAACGAGCACATGCTACAGCCGCTATTACACCATTATTGCATAATTTAGGTCAAACACACACATGCGGCCACCCGCATCACTCAGTAACAGGATCTCTTACCGAGCTGTGATGTGTGTCAGTATCTCCCGGTCTCGTCCAGTTATCACGACCCACGGCAGCGTTTCAAATCGTATAAATAGCCAGACACCGGTGGGAGGACCTACCCAGCTGTCTGGGGTCTTGTGAGAGATAATAAGCCAACCTCTCTTTCGTCATCACACACACACACACACACACACACACACACACACACACACACACACACGAACAGGCACGCACACACACAGCCTTACCTCCGCGAGGTTAAATCCGAGCAGACTTGGTGTATGCAGATCTGATCGATGTGCAAATGTCCACTGAGGGGGGAGATCTTCTGTGTGCCTTGGTGGCAGAGTGTGAAAGAGAGAAACTGCGTCTTCGTTTTCGTCGTCACATGCGCATCTCTGCACCGCCGCGCGCGAGCGCGCTCACGGGGGAGAGCTGGAAGATCAGAGCATCTCTCTCAGCATCCTCGCTGCTCCGCCGACACTGCTGCCCGCTAGGTGGGCTTACCTGAGAGAACAGTTTTATTTATAAGACGTGCACTGCTCAAATGTAGGACAGACAGTGATCCCTGCTACAGCTGCATATTATGGTCTGCCTTTATTATTTAAGGATTTAAATATCAAATCTGGCTTTTACAATTTGAATTTTTTTATTGAGAATGGTTTTGGTTAGAAACTTGCATTTTCTTGAAGTTTTAAAGGTAATATTCAGTGCTGTAGGTCATAGTTGCCAGATTTCTGGACAATACAGCCTGTGTGCGTTTTAGGTTGTGACACACCTATTTTCAGTTACTCTAGATGAAAAACTACATTTATTTTATTATTGTAACGATATTATTATTTTTTACTGTTATCACTATTAAACCTTTATTTAAATAGGTTGTCTCAGTGAGTATCAGATCTCTTTATAAAAGAGAAAACTGTCTAGGACCAAAGCACATAGAGACATTACACAATCTTGTGAAAAACAAAGTACACCCTCTTACATTCCTTAATGTTTAATGTATCAGGACATTTTAAAATAAATCTGATTCTTAGCAGGTCCTAAAATTAGGCAAATATGAAATGAAAAAGTGTTATTATTTAATTTAAAAAAATGCAGAAAGCAGTGTGTGAAAAATTGAATACACCTTTACTACCTTTATAGGGATATAGCATATTAATAAATAATCCTTAAAAGTTTATATATGTCCTCAGCAGATAAAAAATGCACTCATAAAACAGGCTTAAAAATAAATTCATACAAATCAATAAGTCAAGAAGTTTTTTGTACTAGTATTTGTTGACCTAGCTCATTCTGAACCAGTATGTGGCAAAGGCAAAATAATAATAATAATAATGTTGGAAGAATAGATTTTATCCTTTTGTTAAAAATATATACAAACAATTTTTAATTTCTTTTAACAGCTTGCATAATCAGTTATAAAACCGCTGATTCTCCCTCTGCTCTTAAGATAAAGGAAACGTCCATTTGACACATCCCTGGTTAAGGTGAAGTTGATTCACAGTTAGTGAGAATGGGAGCCCCGCCTCCCCGCTTCATCATCCAATAAGCGGAGAGAAAAGAACCACTACTTCCTGTCCCCGATCCAAACACATGTACGTATGCTAGCAGTTAGCTTTGGCGAAAATACTTCTTAAGAGTGGCAATAAGTGCCACTGAAGATGGTTCACATCACTAGGATCTGCTTACGGAAGGTGAGTGCTATAGAAGATTTGTACTCTGAATGTCACATATTTAACGGGGGATATTATACGGTTTTTGACATTAGCTGGAAAGCTAACTGTCAACGCTAAATACACCAAGCAGTAATCGTGTTTGTCTCTCATGTGGTATGTTAGATGATACACCAACTATCTCTATAGCTATTGCACATGAGCAGCCTGCTGGAGATTGTTTGTAGGGCTCTGCCAGCTCTTCTCCTCACACAGAGGGGCAGACACCAGTCCTGCTGTTGAGATGATGCCCTGTCCAGCTCTCCTTGAGTAAATATCAATTTCCTGCTGACTCACCCACACTCCTGATATTGTGCTGGGAGGCTTGGCTAACCTTTTTTGTGGCTGCACATATATGAACGTGCCATCCTCGAGGAGTTTTTGAGCACTCTAGTTGCTCATCAATGCGCCACTGATCAATACACCTGTCAACCCAGAACAGTTTTCTGTATAGACTACGTCATGTTACCAAAATAAAGTACATACACACAAATAAAGTACATCAAGTAAACAGTAAAACAACAATAACGCCCCTATAGACTATACATGGGCACATATTTGTATATTTAAACTCATATATAAAATATATATGAGTTACTGTTTAGCTTGAGTGGACTGAAGAAAATAGGAAGGATGCTCAAGCTGCTGTCAGATTTCATTATTCTTGTGAGATATGTAGGTCGCACTCTGGTAAATGATGTCAGTAAAACTTTTGAAAGATTCAATCACTTGAAGTTGCCTGTTAGGATCTCTGGTGTTCTTCGATTTCTTAATACCAGTCTGTGTCTTTGACTCTTTGCAGTATGGAAACTTTGTTGACAATCTGCGGCTGTACGTCCGTGGAGGCAGTGGAGGGATGGGTTTACCCCGCCTTGGAGGACAAGGAGGGAAAGGGGGAGATGTTTGGGTGGTGGCGACGAAGAACATGACCTTAAAAAGGATAAAGGACAAATTCCCACAAAAACGTTTTGTAGCGGACGCAGGAGCCAACAGCGGGTAGAAATACAATTTTTATTTCAAATTCTGTCGATCAGTAAAAAATGTCTATTTTTCAGACCTTCATAGAGGTTTTGAAATAGTCCTGTAAGCACGAGAGGGTGAGAGCTGTTTGGATCTCTTTTATCAACAGCGTTCGAGCTCTGAAAGGAGAAAGAGGGGCAGACAAGGAGATCCTTGCTCCTGTCGGTATCACCGTCACCACTGATGAAAGCAGAACACTCGGTACGTCAAATCTTTCACAGTCAGTCATGTGAATCTTGTTTTTTCTAACAGAAAAAGAACTGCCAGTGCAGTAGCTACCTGACTTTTGCTGTGAAGCTTCTTATTTCCTCTACCATTCTTCTTACAAGGTGACTTGAATGTGGAGGGCGATCGTGTGATGGTGGCAAAAGGAGGATCAGGAGGTTCGCTGTACTCTGCGTTTCAGCCCAGTAAAGGCGAGGCTAAACACATCAGACTGGACCTCAAGCTTATAGCAGACATGGGCCTTGTGGGGTGAGAATAGAGGGGGAACAAACCACACTAACTGAATTCTGCTGAGGTTCAGATTAGCAAAGGGGAACATCTGATTTTGTTCTGTTAAATCACCACCAGGTTCCCGAATGCAGGAAAGTCCTCTCTGCTGACAGCCTTGTCTAACGCCACGCCTCAGATTGCCAGCTATGCTTGTGAGAAGACAACCACACGCATATAGAAAAAGAAAACGTGTCTTTTTTTAAATTCTCAAAATATGCTTTGAAAGAAGAAATAATTCTGTGTTTCATTAAACTTTAATATTTTTCTGCCGTTTCACAGTCACAACCTTGAAACCAGAGATTGGCAAACTGATATATGACGATTATAAGCAGGTACAAGAATTCCACGTGTTGCCTTGTGCTGTAACTGTCTGCGAAAACATTTCTTTTTTCTTTTTACTTGGCTTACTTGATTGTTTGCTCTTTTTTGGGGGGGGCGGGTGTAGATTTCTGTTGCTGATCTCCCTGGCTTGATTGAGGGGGCTCACATGAACAAAGGCATGGGCCACAAATTTCTGAAACACGTGGAGAGGACCAAGCAGCTGTTATTTGTGGTGCGTAACTAACACAAACTGTTTTTGCTTTCGGTGTAACCAGGTGAAAATTGCTTCTGATGACAATTTTGCATTTTGTCTGAATGCAGGTGGATGTTTGTGGTTTTCAGCTGGCAAGTAAAACACCGTTTAGGTCAGCCTTCGAAGCTGTGCAGCTTCTAACCAAGGTGAGCCTGAAGCTGCAAAGGCTGATGACTAGTTTTTAGATATTCATTCTGATCTCCTGACTCAATCTTCGCTCCTTTTATTTATTTTTTTGTCCCTCGTTCTCCTCTGCTTTCTGACTGCTGCCTAAAGGAATTGGAGTTGTATAAAGAGGAGCTTTTGTCAAAGCCTGCATTACTGGTGGTGAATAAGATGGACCTGCCTGATGCTGAGGACAAGCTAGCAGAGCTGAAGGAGCAACTACAAAACCCAGAAGGTTAGACTAGAATTAGCACTTATGAGTAGAAAAATCATTTAGGAGAAAAGACTGAAGACGTATTTCTACTTCCAGGGTTCACAGGCGTCCTAGTCTGTTCCAAACATTTCTCTGGCTCTGTCTGAGCCATGCCGCTTGCTCTGTCAGATATCGACACAAGCGGCATGATGACTTTTTCGTTTTCATGCATCTGAACTTCCTTTATGTGAGCATATTTTTGCAGTTTGTTGGGAGGAAAAATTGGTTTTGAGAGTATTTCTGTTCCTTTTCTTTCCCCTGTACAGAGTTCTCTGATCTGCTCCCTGAAGATATGATACCACAGAACTATTTGACCTTCAGACACGTGGTTCCCATTTCTGCAATCACCGGGTTTGGCATCAGCCACCTTAAGAGCTGCGTTCGACAGTCCCTCGATGAAGACGCAGCCTTAGAAGTTAAAGCCACTCATCGAGAAAAGCTGCAAGCACTGAGGAAGCAGTCACAAGGACGTGCGTGAGTAACGTAGACGACATCAAGCATCATCACGCAGGACTTTGCAGATAAACATCCTCTACCACGAAGCTCCTGGGAGAGCAAAACCACTTCAATTTATACAAGTGATGGAGGTCTCTGCTTGGAGATGATCAAATTCTCACTGACTGATGCAAACTCCATCTTTATTTATTTAAAAGTGATGTGTTGTATAAGGCTGATAAAACTTTGTGAATATCATAGAAATTCACAGGCTGGTGCATAAAAGGATTATAGTCAAGATGACTACATTAAATGATAAATACAATATATTCAGTTTCATACTACGATTTAAAATGTTTTTATTATTATCGATTTATGTTTTGTGCATACTCAGCTGCATCGTCTGTTTCACTTTAAATGGGGACATAATCTACAATTCAAAGAACATGCAGTGTTGCAGAAAACTTGAAACTAGCGATTTAGGCCATAAACTTATTATGAACATGTTAACTGAGATAGTTTGTTTGCTGTAGGCTTATATAGAGTCTGATTTAATTTGCAACCAAGCAGGAACCCCAGTAATGACCAATTGAGGCTGGCTCCAGCAGTGAGTCAGTCGTCACAGACTCCCACGTTAAAATGCTCAACAGCAGTAACACATCCTGATGCAAAAATGGGTTTTGTCCTCATTGTTTCCCCCTTCAAAGCAATTCCAGTGGGGGTGAATCTTTGCTATAACTAAACAGTTTCATCGCTGATAAGACCTAAAGGTAAGAGTTTGGTTGCTTTGCTTGGCAGGTGTACCGACACAGGTAACCCGTTCCTTTCCACTTGGCCTCATTTCCGCTAATTTGAGTGACTGAACTGGATCTCCTGACTGTTTTTCGATCAGTCATATGGTTTGCTGTGAGGTACAGCCTGGGCTAAGGGTTCACTCAACTTTTTGACAGGGGGAAATTTTAGTTTTTATAAGGATGCGAGTTAAAATTAGTAAATAAACTTGAAGCAAATTTGTGTTTGGTGATTTTTGGTTTTATTGCTAGCAAACATTTAGTACAAAGATGTAATCGATTTAACAAATTTCCTTACTTTTTGTGCTAAGTTTACATGCGTCTGTGCAGAGCACCCATGTAGTTTCTGGGTGCACATGCTAGCATTGCATGAGAAAATACAGTAGTACTAAATATGGACACTCCAAACTCCAAAAGAAAAATCCAAGTGTCAAGTACAAAACCAGTAGATGATATCTTACCGGCCGTGTATGTTGTCTTTAACTCATTGGTCACCTTATTAGGTACACCTTGTTAATATCAGGTTTGACCCCCTTTTTAATTATTAGTAGCTTTCAGTACTGCTTTAATTCTTCATGGCAGATTCAACAAGATGCTGGAAACAGTCATCAGATTTTGCTACATATTGTCATGACAACTGCTGCAGATTTGTTGGCTGCACATCCATGATGTGAATCTCCTGTTCCACCACATCTCAAAGGGGATCAACCTTATTGAGATCTGCTAACACAAATACTCAGATGGACCATGGGGTTTGAACAGTGCTTGGGGGTTGCCCAAGAACACTGAGCGGGTCCATGCTTCCATGCAGTTTATGCCAAATTGACCGTACTGTCTGAATGTCACAGTAGAAATCGAGCAGGCATTGTTTAATCTCTTGTTGAATTCTAGTAAGCTCTTTTTCTTAGCTGACAGCAGTGGCACTTCATGCGGTCTTCTGCTACTGTAACCCATCTGCTTCAAGGTTTGATGTGTTGTTCATACAGAGATGCTCTTCTGCATACCTTGGTTTGGTGTGCTCTGACTGCTGACAAAGACATTTAAGCCCAGAGAACTGCCACTCACTGGATATTTTCTCTTAGTCAATTCTCTGCAAATTCTCAAATGGTTGTTGGGAAAATCCCAGTAGATCAGTTATTTGTGAAATACTCAAACTAGCACATCTGGGATCAATAGCCATGTCACATTAAAAGTCACCTAAGTCACTTTTCTTCCCCATTCTGTTTCAACTTCAGCATTCATCTTGACCATGTCTACATGCATTGATCTGCTGCCATGTGATTGGCTGATTAGATATTTGCTTTAACAAGCAGTTTAAGAGATGTACCTAATAAAGTAGCCAGTGCATGCGTGTCTTTGTGATGACAGAAAATTGGCATGCCACTATACTTGTGGGGACCAACAGTGACTTATGGGGACAAAGTGCCCGTCTCCACGAATTTGAAGGCATTTTTGAGACTCAAAATGTGGTTTTATTGTCAGGGTTACATTTAGGTTTAGGGTTAGACATTCATTTTTGATGGTTAGGGTAAGCATTATGTCAATTAGATGTCCTCACTAAGGGGTGTGTGTGTGTGTGTGTGTGTGTGTGTGCGTGTCTGTCTGTCTGTGTAAATATATGGTTTATAATTTGCAACCAGTGGAGTCAGGTTTCTTTTAAACCTACAGACTATGATGCTCTTACAGTCTGATTTTCGGGTTACCCCAGTCTGTACCTCAACACAGGGTAGAGATGTAAAGCATACTACAGTATATAAAATGCTAAGAGGCCGAGGAGTATTGTGCAGAGTGACTTAAATGTTTTGATAACACTGAGAATTAAACTGTCATGTAACCCTCATTCAGCTGAATCAGGTTTTATTAACTGGTTATCAAACCATCCTGGGAAATCAGAAGATAATAGAAATGTCTGCACAGACAGAGGTGTTGATGAAAGTTTTATTTTATATTAAATATATTACAATACTGAATGATAAAGAGGAAAAAATATGGGGATTTTTGCATCATCAGTCTGTACAGCATACAGGCAAATTAAAAAATAAAAAAAGACAACTGCAGTGTCTGAATTAGTACATATGGGGCTCTTTAGGGTTCCTGGAGCAGAGTGCTGATGATTCTGGTGTGATGGGAACGCATGGCTGAGACTGGGTGGTACACAAATACATTCAAGTCTCTGGCCAGACAGCTGCTCTGCAGGGATCGGTCAGTCCAGCTGTGTGCGGAGGCAGATATGTTTGGAGTAACACCTGTACAATCACACAAATCACTACTGCCTGCCAAATCACTACTGCCGTCCTCGATGAAGAATCCTCTAGAGTTTTGCCCAAGGCACCAGGACAAATGTCTCGCTGCTGCACAGTATTATGATGTTAGAAACATTTGTAAGGAGCTCAGAAATGATGCTCTCCCCAGCCTGGGGAAGCCCAGAAAGATCACTGGGCCGCTGGACACCGATAGTAAGACCAGAGGAACAAAAATAAAGAAAGTTCTGGTAGAAGGCAAATCATGAGCCCAGACAGCAACATGTGTCCAAACCTTACATCAGCACGTAGCATCGTATCAGCACATGCGTAAGGAACAACGGCTTCTATTGGCCCCAAAGGACAAAGGTGATGAAACGAAATGCTCTCCATCAAACTCATCAACCCACGTAATTACAATAATGCACTTAATTAATGTTTAAATAGCTGCTGTACATAATGCTGAGGGGGAAAAGGTGAACATTACAAAGGTACTTAATTAAAAAAAAGATACTAGTAGCAATATTAATCCAATATTGTGAAGCTCATATTACCTATACAGTCCTAATGCATACATGAATTACAAATGTAAAAGTGCCCACACTGGAACAAAAGCTAACAACAGTAAAATGACAAACATGAGGCCTTGACACAACAGTTTCTCCACAGTGTAGAGCACTGACTGTACAAAGAACTTGTTGGTGAGCGGGATTTGCATCCAGAAAAAAAAAACCCACCTTAAATAATTACACTGGCACGACAGTTAGCTTCGAACCACCTGCCATGAGCTTTACAAGCAACTGTGGTACACAGACCCATTAAAAACAACAGGAAAAGGCAATAGGGGGGAAAAACTCATCCGGTGACATGCTCATTTCCTGTTATGACCTCATAAAGAGCCTACCGGCGAAATAATCTGATATAGATCTGTCATGCTGTTGGGTCTTCGTAAGCTCGAACAGCAAGCACTGTACAGCATAGTTAATCATTTACAAGGCTAAATATCTCAGTCGTCACAGCTAAATTCAAAATGCGCATTTCAGTCAATTTCCAGATGCTGGCTGAGGCGGGTCACCAGCCAGATGTTCAATTACTCACATTCAAGTGGCTGCCACTGGAAAAATGGGAGTGCAGCCGTCTCAAACACACAAACACCTTGTCACCATCATTGGGAAATTTTCAGGAAATTCCGTGAGTGACAAGCGACACATCTATAACTACGCCAAACACATCTCGTCCGTTCGTTTCACTCGGGAACGGGACGTAAAACTAATAAAAATGTAGCTAAATTAATATCGATCGAGAACGGTCTTAGCGACGTGCCACAGTCAACATCGCTGGATGTCTGTGTGTGTGTGTCTCACAGAGATGCATGAAAATAGTGGCTAAGGTAAAAAATAAACACACATTCTGCTGTGGATGGAGAAGGCTATAGAGGTCACAGTCACAGAGCGGGAGAAACCCAGACTGCAGGGTCTCTGAACTTATCTACAAATCAACAGGAAACAAAGAAATGCCTCTCTCTCTGTCTTTTTGTCTTTCAAAACAAAAGAAAACCCATACTCTGTGTGTATTTTACTGTACATATTTACACACAAACCAAAGGGAGGAACAGCAGAGTGGGGTCCATGTTGCGGTGATACAATATGAGTTACCTTTAGTGGAGAGAAAGCATTAAGCCTACAGACGTTATAAAATCACAGCCCCATTTGCATGCTTTCCTTTCGGGTCAGACCGCTGTCCGTCTCGTCTTTTCGGTAGGAGGGAGTTGCCGATAAACACGGTCGTCTCATGCATACAGTGTTGGCGTTTCTACAGTAATTCACGTCAAAATGATCCGACGCAGATCCGGCAATGGCCTGGCTCCCACAGCTCCTTTCAGAGAGGAGCCTGTACAATTCAGATGGGATGATGCTGAAGTGAATACGACATGAGACAAGCTAAAGAGGGGTAAGGGTGGTGTGGGGGTTTTGGGTGGGGTTGTGTCGCGTTGGTGAAGCTTTAAGCAGACAGCAGGAACAGCTCAGTCTGAGCTCCAGCTGGTCTGGAGAGGATGTGGAGCTGGTGTCTCTGCCGGGACTCCACATCGTCACGTAGAGATCCACTGAATGAGGCTGTTTGGCAATACGGCCTCGCAGATGCTTGGTCACATTAACTCAAACTCAAACTCTGCCTGTTTCCTGTCCAGTGGGTGGGTGGGGCTCTCTCTTTTTCCTCTTTAGTCGCTTAGAGTCAATTTTGTATCATTTTTGTGTTTGTTCATTCATAGAAAAGGAGAGATGTGTAGTTCTTTATAGTCTTGTGTAGAGAGGGCAAGACAGCTGTTATATTGAGGTCTCCCACAACTGGAAATAGAAGAGAAGAAAGAGAAGCCTTTTAGCATCTCCCAAAGTTTACTGCTGGTCGGTCACATCACTTCCTTTTTCCACAGAGTTCAGGCTGGACTTACAGTTCTGCTGTTTTCCTTAAACCTTATGTCATTATAACGTGCTTCAGTAGTTTCATTTGCACACACAACCACCATTAAATGCAGAAATCCCTGTATTGTGTTTCTGATTGATACTTACCCTGGCACTCTGCCTGTTGGCTTTCCTCTGGTCATCGGGGAGAGGAGGCATAGGGTATGGGTACCTCCTGCTGGATGCAATAGATCCTGTGGAGGAGGTGGGAGACTTGGCAGGCGATAGCGTCCTGAGAAAAGAAATAAAGTGATCGTGATGTGACGTGATCATAAAGCTATTGCCCCCCCTTTTTTTTTTTTAGTTAGGGTAGGACTAAGATGTCCAAAGACACAGATACATAAATCAGGTTAGATCTGTGACTTTGGGCAACATCCTCCTTCAGCTGCTCCACCTATTCAGTTTTCACCTTCCTAAATAGCGAGTTTGCTCCTAGAAGCTGCTCACCAGAAAGCAAAGAGACAAAATTATAAAATAATCACTGCAAAAAATGTTTAGCTTTTAAGAGCAAACCCTGTGCATGATATGTATTTATTTACACAGCAGTAAACAGTTCCCGGCTGCAGTGTGGGCACAGTCATAGTTCCCTTCATGCTTCACCGTCTCACAGCATTTTCGGCAAGCGCCAACACACTCTTAGCTAGAAGCTGCAGAACAATAACTTTAGCCACTGTGGACAAAGCATGCTGCTAAAGGTAACTTCTGCTCTAAGCTTAGCTGGTGTGTTGTCTTGATGGAATAGCTCAATCTGCGGGAGCATGAAAAGGCGACTGGGACAGCGGGCCAGACCGGAGCTGGGTAAAAAAAAAAACAAAAGACCAAGAGTCAGAGGAAGAGGTCCAGTCCAGTGAAACAGCAGCAGAAAGCCTGCAGCGTGTGCAGCGGCTTCTATACATCACTGCACCGTGGTGACTGAATGGTCCTGGGTTGGCCAAAATGATGGAAAGACCAGAGCAATTTGACGGCAGGTTGCAGAAGTTATTTTTTTCTCCTCGCATGAAGGAACTTTGAAGTGTTTAAACCTTTAACGTGTCTCTTCTGTAAAACAGTGGCATCTGATCAGCTTCATATTCATTCTGTAGCTTACTGTTGGTCTATTTCCTTTTCTAAGTCTTTTTACAGCGGATTCAATATTCAGTTTGCAGTTAAAAGTTCTGCAACCTGCTGCTCCATGTCTCTTCATTTTTTGGGCTGTTTCTACTCTAGGTAAGAAGAGGGAGAGGGTTAGAAATGTGCGCCTGGACAGTGAAGGTCTATAGATTCCAGTGTTGGTTTGCTGTTTACTGATGTTTGGGGTTTTTTAGCGAGCTTCAGCTTGTGTTTCTAACCATCTATAGACCTTGGGCACGATCAGAGATTTTGCCACAACAGCGCAATGATGATGTCAGAGCGGCACCCGAAATATCTGGCTCTGCGGTGACATCACACTGACGCGACGGCTCGTGAGGTCACTGTGAGCGAGGCGGAGGGCCGAACAACACAAAACACTTACTGACGGAACAACATTGAACATGCAGAGGTAACAAGAGACTGGGAGGGAGGGAGGAGAGCAAAGAAGGGAATAAGGAGAAATTAGGAATAAAAATGACTGGATTATAGTTTTACACTAGCACAGACAGTAATAGCCATCTTTGTTTTTGCATCAATACAATAAAGCAGGAAAATAAAAGTCTGCAACTGAAAAATTCAGCACTTGAGTTGTAAGAAAAAAAGTAAAGTTTAAAAATGTCTCTTCATCATCCTTATTTATGCACAGTGGCAACCTTTTCTCAGTTGCAACATGCCATTCTCTGAGATATAGCTTTGAATTGTCTCCAGAAAAGAAAAAAAGACCAGATTGGCACTAAGCCTTCCTTTCCAAACCACAAATCAAACCAAAAAGTGAGGGAGTTTTTAGACAAGCGTGTGGGGTATACAGGACGTGGTCCGAGGTAATACCTAAGGTAAGGTCCTTGAGTGTTTCTATTCACATCTTCTACCCATTTAGTTACATCATAAAACTCTGTTTTGAGGCGAGGGGTTAAATACCTGTGGGAGGGTTGAGGGGGAGGGAAGTTAAAGGGACACAACACAAGGTGAGGGGGAGAAGAGAGAAAAGAAAGGAAGAAAAAAGAAACGGACAGAAATTTCTCCAGAAATAAGCGAGTGTGAGGGGGTGGGGGTGAGGTAAGGGGAAGGGAGAGAGGAAGAGGAAATATTTTAGGAAAGCAGAGCAGAGCAAAGATATTCTGAACAAGATGCAATTGAGGAAAAAATGGTGAGAAGATGGCAGACAGACCTGTGTGTGGTTTCAGATGAAAACGGCACTATGAAAATCACAAACACCTGTGTCGCGTGTTACAGGCTCGGTTGCATGTTGGTCTCATCATTCCAAGCAGCTATAGCTTCTTTGCCACTCCGGCAGTCTCATGCTTATATCGAGAACATGTGCACTACACACTACTCTTTATGCCAAGACCTTCAGACGCACAAACTGACCGACATACGAGGCTGGGAGGCAGCTGATGCACACAGCTCACTGTGCATTCACAGTCAACAGGCAGGTATGCACATATCTTATTTGTTCACAGGCTGTAGGTAAAGTCTAAAAGATTTAAAGCTTCGGCCTCAAAAGCCAAACAGAAGCTTAGAGTTCACGTTGATAGAGCAGGTCAATGTGAACAATGCAAAACGAGATACAATTACATTTTTCTGTCTGATACAAACAGAAGCATCGTTTCATTTTCTTTACAGAAATTATTTAATGACAAGAATATCAAACTTTATCATTTATTTGTTGACTGTCAACAAATCTAATAAAAAGACCAAAACCAACAATAAACTGATTGAGCATACGTGTTCTACCCTCTCTGTCTCCATTTAACTGTGGCCAAAGATGAAAAGCCACAAATAAAAAAAAAGTCATAATAATTAATTGTTGCCCACACAATACTGAAACTGCACACTGCTGTTACAATAAACACAAGCACTGCAGTTAAGTCTCTTCCTGCTAATGTTATGATTTCTACAAACACAGAGTAATGGTCTGAAGCATTCAGGTGTGTTTTAATACACAAATAATACAATCTTCCCAAGACCGGACGTCTCAGTAAATTCTCCCCGAGCTCAGACAGTGTAATTCTCAAAGAAACTGCTTAAAACTCAAGAGCTACATCTCAGACTCAACAGGCATCAGTTAGCTTGTTATTTGTTAAAGTTCATGACAGCACAAATGAAAAAAGACTGAACTTGTTTGGCTAGTTTGGAAGAGTTACCAGTACAAAGCCTTGTTTTTGAAGAAAAACAAGTTGGCAACATGGCTTAGGTTTGCAGAGTTGCATCTTATCAACAACAACATTCCTTCAATTGTGTCCTTTGGACAGATAAGACCAAAGTGGAGATGTTTGGCCATAATGCACAGCACCTTATTTGGAGAAAACCAAACACTGCATATCAGCACAAACACCTCATACCAACTGGCAAGCATGGTGGTGGAGGGGTTATGATTTGGGCCAAGCCGAGCTTGATCCAGGCCAAGCTTTAGCTGTTAGATAGATGACTCGAGAAAGCTTTGGTACAGAAGAGTGCATGGTTGACCTCTTCTGTACCAAAGCTTTCTTGAGTCATCTGTCCAACAGCTAAAGCTTGGCCTGGGTCATGCAACAGGACAATGATCCCAAGCCTGCAGCGTGTGCAGTGGCAAAGCTGTGAGAGAGACAGACAGATGTGCATAGAGTCCTGCAAAAACTTTCTTTTTCATATGACTGTATATGTGCATATGAACATGCAGACTATGTGGGTCATTGGTAGTCACATCACATGGCAGTAAACAGTTGACTTGGAGAGCAAAGGAGGGAATGCAGCACAGAAATGTAATCTTGAAACTATCAACTACTGTACCTTCTGATATTGCTTTGGATTTCATTACCTTTATAAAATCGTATCTGCATTCATAAACAGTGACCGGTGCACGGTCTTGGCACAGACACCTGCTGGCCTAAACTGTCATCCTCAGAGTCTGGCTGTCTGGCCAAGACTGAAGGGTTCCCAATGTGACTGCCAGTGTTGTAAATATAACTATTCAGTAATCCACAGGTGAAAATACTGATCTAAATTTGCTCCTTTTCCCTAAAAACTGTTGGTTTTGGTCTTTTTGTGAGATTTACTAAAATAAAGAATGAAAATTATAAAGATAATGTCAGCTTGATTCTTTAACAGATCCTGATACATTAGTGTTTTTTACTGCAGTGTCTCTCTATCTGCAAGTAGAGCGTTCACTGACATCACAACTTAATCAGTTTCCCAAATATTACTTACTCTGTGGAGTTCGAGCGAGCACGGAACTTCTTTCCTTTCAGTTTCTTACGATTACCGCTCAGGTTTCCTGAAGACAAACAAAACAGAAGTGCACATTTAGATTCACATGCTAAGTATTTAATGGGATGATAATGAAAAAGCAGGCCTGTATGAGAAGGGCTACAATTGGTTTGTTAGTTGTGGTTTGAATTTAGCCTAAAGATCAGAATGTGAGTTAGACTCTTTCACTGTTTCCTGTCCTGAACAAACACATTCATTTTCTTTCATCCTGAGAAACAAAAAAAAAAGCACAGCTTACCTTGCCACGAGTTGCTTCTTGGTCGCCCATTTTCACAGATGTCAGTGATGTGTTTGGCATCTGGAATTCTCTCACTCCACGAGTGGGACAGGCCATTAGATCTAGGTCACATGAGAGAAGGGGGAAAAAAAGAAAGTTCAGTAACGTCTTCCTAAGATGCTGCAAGTCTGCTGCAAATGAGGCTAAAATGAGGCTGTGGTAAATGAATCAGAAGATGAAGATGCCATGTCATCATTATGAGCCATGAAAACATTTCATGACAGATGAATATGACATGAGATGAAAGCACTTGATGCAAAACTGCCAAAATGCTCACAGGTTTCTGCATTTTGGTCATTTCCAGAAAAAGGTAAGACACCTAATGAAAGCACGAAAACATGTTGAGCTCATCTACACCGGTGATGCACACGCACACACTTGCCAGCAAATGACTGAGTGATGGTGAGATGGCACACCTGAAGGCAAACAGTGAGCGGTTCTGAGAAATGGATGGGATGGAGGGAGTGAAGGACGGGGTGCAAATCTGCAGGTGCGACAGGCAGGCTGACCTCTTCTTGGAGCTGCAGCCCGAGTTTGTGCTTACACCCGGAGGCATGTCGCTGTAAAATGAATCTGCATCCCCAGGTTTTGTGACATAATCACCTGGAGGCATTTGCCTGGAAGTACAGAAGAATTCATTTAGATGCTGCAGAGATGAACACCATGACAGGAAACAGTCACCTGCATATATTTTAATTAAAAGCTTTTTATAGTCCATTTATGATCTGTGCCACATTTTGTTTTCTTCTACTCTGGTGACTGCTTTGCATTTTTCATGATGTAATTAGCTGTTCAGTTATTGCACTAAGCTTGCACTAAGAGCCCCCATTTACATTTCTCCCTATTTTTGTTCTAGCTCAGTCCAGTTGGCTAACATCATTATACTCTCATGTCTAAAAAAAGGGAAAAATGTTATATATATATATATATATATATGTTTTCTCTATTTTCTATAATAAAAACACTCATAAGCATTTCAAAGACTTTTACTGGCAATATAAATATGCAAAGAGTGTTTTGGCTACTTCTTGCTTTTTACTTTAAGAAGTGGTACAAAAAACCCAAATGTAAAAGATTTCTGACCTCATTAATAATTGGCTTGTTGAAGGTAATTTTCAAAACAACTTTTCGTGACCTGATATTCATCACTTTCTTACAACTTTTTCTTGCCAACGATGAAAATGGGTCATACAAATAAATAAAGGATGTCCATAAAATGTATATAAAGGAAGAAGGACGTTTGTGGAGTGGCCGTTTGGTTTCCTCTATCGAGGAGACAGACCCCAGCGGGGTTTATTTCTTGCCAGTTGTTTTAGAATTGTAAAAATCAATGAAACAACTTCACCAACCCATCTTTACAAAGCTGAAGAAGTCAATCTGCCTTCTTTTCCAAGCTCTTAAGAGTAAAATGTATCCATTTATAAATGTTACAAATTATGCTAAAAAAGTGAATTACAAGTCTGTTGATTTAAAACTTTGTTATTGTAAATCACCTGCTGGAGCCACATGCAGTACGATTGGGGCCCACCACAGACTCACGGCCGTCATAATGCATATTTTTATATTTGATATTTAGTTTTCCCTTTGATTATATAACTTCATGTAGATGACATTTAAATGCAAGACGATTACTTGTAGCAGATTAGAAAACATTTTGGTGATTTTTGTTATTATGCAGGGCGGGGATATTTCAGATTTCCTCAGGGTCTCGCTGCAGATTTGTATTTAAGATCTTGCTCCGGGTTTTGGATCATTTGAGCACAAAGAAACGACTGAGTATTAACTACAGGTTTTGTGGTCTTTGCAAAAAAACAAAACAAAACAAGGAAAGAAAAAGTTACTGAGAGAACAATAACACATTCAAACAAGCTGCAGCTCTGTCATGCACTTTAGAGTCACGCTTTAAATAACAGAGTAAGAAAAAGATGTTAAAGTGTGCAAACCGGCAGAATCTCCGGTGAACCTCAGACTCAATGTAGCATTTCTGCTTGTAGCTCCTGTAAAGAAAACAGCAATCTTATAACAATCCAGAAAGTTCATACTTTTATTTATTATTATTTCCACTCATCACTCATCATCAGACATGCACAAACTATGTGTAGACTCACTTGTAGCACCAGGCTGTTACAGCCAGTATTAGGGCGAGGAAGAGGATAGAGCCCGCAATAGCCCCGATGATGATGTTAGTGCTGTTGATACCTGAGACAGAGGAAGAGAGTAGAGTGGGAAGCCAAATGTGTATTAACTGAGATGTGTGTGTCTCTTGTATCTGGAACAATGCAGACACATGGGGATACACAAACCACAAAACAGTGCAGCAGAGCACAAAAACACAGAAAATTTAGCAAGAAAAGTTCATCAGGAAGACACGGGAGGAAAAAAAACACCAAAACCTCAGTCACCCTCCAACACTACTCTGAGGGGGAACCTACAAGCGCTTCCCATTCAGGGTAACAATAAAAACTGCTTGCTTCTCAATTGAATGAGGGCTGTAATTATCTAACTGTGATGGGACTGAAGTTGGAGTGAGACAAGACGAGGAGGAGCGGGAAATGACATCAAAGACAAGACAAACACAATGAAAAAGGAACCTAAATCTGACCTCAAATCACTCCGTCAAAGACATCGGCCTGTCGACAAAGAATGAGTGTGAAAATAATGACAAACAAAAAGAATGACATGCAAGGTTCAGTGGATACAAATGCAGCAGGTTTAATGAGCAGACGTGAGCCCCCAAAAATAAACAAAAATTAAAAGACAATTGAAAAGCAACAAAAAGGATGACATATCTGTGGTGAAGTGGAAGGACAATGAAGAAAGAAATGAAACGGGTGTAGCAGGTTGGGAAGAGGGGTGAGGTTTTTACAGAGGGACAGGTGTGCAGAGCAGCCCTGAAATATGACTGGAGGGCAAATGTGATGTAGAGACAGAGGCAGGAACAAGTGGAACAGGTGCAGAGGGCAGATAAAATGTCTACCTGAAACTGAGGCTGTGGTTTTGGCCACAGGAAACATGAAGCTACAATCCTCTCCTGTCCAGCCCTGGTTACACACACACTTCAGCTCATTGCTGCACACCTGCAGGATGAAAATGTAACATAATTAGATATTTGTCGAAGTCTGTTATGGGCACTTTATGGGTCAAAATTCAAGTTGGTCTGATTGCAACCACAAAATATGGTGACTCAAGTCTTTATGTTTCTCAAGTTATTTCAAGTCCACAATCAGGCATCAAAACATTAAAATAAAAAGAAAACCCCGACAGCAGCTAAATAGATACTTCCCAAATACTATAAGTGGGAAACACTTATATTATATTATATTATATTATATTATGTTATATTATATTATATTATATTATATTATATTATATTATATTATATTATATTATATTATATTATATTATATTATATTATATTATATTATATTATATTATATGATAGGATCAATTCTAGGCGTTGGTGTATGAGTTCACTGTTGGCGTGTACCCCATTTCCAGAGCAAATGGCCTTGTCAGTCGTCCCTGGGCAGGTGCTGAAGTTGAACTGCTGGATGGGGAGACATTTGTGGTTGAAGCAGATGCTGTCTGTGCCGCAGGCCGTCCCGTCCTCGACGTATCCCAGGTCTATATCTCCGTCGATCACCACGTGAGCACCACTGAAGAGCAAACAAGACTGAGTGACTTGAAAGGCTATGTTGGCTTGCAGTAAACGTGGCGTGATGTGCAGGCTGCTGTTTCTTAGTTCATCTGTGATGTTTAGAAGAATGTAGTTTTCCTGGCTCGGTGGGTCTCTAACAATCAATGAAGGATTTACTTGATGCTAGAGTTATGTGCTTTGTAAACAACTGAGAGAGCAACAAGCGAGGAGATTTTTTTAAGAGCATTCCTCCTTCAGTGCTGCACAAACAATAGTATTCCATAGACTAAACACAGATCACAAATGATCATTACAGACTGTTTTAGGTGTTTTCTTTTTTGTTCCTTTGGCTACCTGCAGTCCAAAGAGGCACTGTGTTGGGCTACAGAGAATGAAGTCAGCCCTCCCTGCAGCTCTCCCAGTCGTGGAGCAGGAGAGATGTTGGAGCACAGCAGATAGCCACAGTGAACATCCCTGAACACAAAAGGTGCAAACACATATCAGCAGGAGAGGAAAGTAACCCAGAGCTCCACAGGAGGCACAGACGACTGGCTTACTGCTTGTTACACTGGATCCACGTGTCCTTGTCTTTTCCACAGTTGCCTTTTTCTGTCCCTTCGATGTTAAGCTTCTCGTAGCAGAACTTGTCAGCTGCTGTTGCCTCTGAGGGAAACACAAGCAATTTTAAGGAGAATAATACGAGGGTGTTTTCTGTGCAGCTCCTCTAGATCTCCTTTCGTTGGAATGCACATGAGAGAAAACACCTACTTTCTCCCCAAATGAACTTGCACTGTCTGTCTTTGGTTTTGCACCTTCCACTGAAGCAGCGACCCTACAGGCAAACAAGGTGATTCTTAACAAAGTGCATGCCAATCGGCTGAGAGGTTTTTAAACATTTTAATGCAAGATCACATAAAACTCATCAAGATCTTACTTGGTCTTTTTCACATGTGTAACCATCCATCTTGTGCACATTTGGTGGACACTGCAAAAAATAGAGAAAGCCTCAAAAATACAGTGATGCAAATCTAAGTATGAGCAGATGTTTAGGAGGAAAAATCCGTGCTCACCTGGCTGGAATTGCCCAAGCAGATTTCCGGGATGTCACAGTCATTCACCGCATCTCTGCACACAATTCCCCTGAACTCCATCTGTAGCAGCACACAGGACAAATTAAATCGGAAAAGGTTTTGTGTTTCATTCCACGTCCGGCAGAAAAAAAACAAAAAGTCAAACGTTTTTTGCCATCATAAAGTAAAGTGTGTGACAAGTCTGCCCATTCACAGCTAAAACACACCCCATCAATGTTAACTATGTCCATATCTTTTCTTGTAGGATTTAATGGTCCTAAATAGTTTCCGTTTCAGTTTCAGTAGCGGAGGAGTGCCTGAAAGTGGCATAATCCCCGGAGACCACGGCTATTTTTTCAGTGCTTCCAATGTAGGAAAAAGGATATCTAGTTCAACACTTCCTGTTTTGTCAGTCATTGTTAGATTTTACACAGATACATTTTTGAAAAGCTGATTTAAAACGAAATCCCCATCAGATCGTAGCTAATAGTATTTCAGCTTCTGCTCTCCACATGGACTGTTTGTCTGCATGCAACCAAACCCTGCTTGAATGTGACTAAACCAAAAATCCACCATACTCTGCAGCTCCATATCTGTTTATAAAGATCAGTATATTTAGATAAAAACCACTTAAAACCTGCTACTGTCCGGTTTAGTACCTGGCAGTTATTGCAGCAGAGTCCATTGCTACAAACAGAGCCCTGAGTCAGGGTGCAGTTCTTGCAGCAGTTCTCTCCTTCTTTTGCACATTCCTGAAAGGAAGAAAAACTTTTCTCAACACAGTTTATTCTTTGCCTTAATTTCTCCAATGACTTTACTTCACTGCTTCAGATGTTAACCCTTTTTCTTTGATTGTTTATTTTGCTGTAACTCATCTCTTTGACCTTGGATGATCATAAAGGTTAAGCCTTCAGTATATATATCTGTGTATTTTTCATTCATCCGCGGATGTTTAACTCACCGCTGGGTTTCCGCAGTCACACTCCTCTCCTGGCTCCACAAAGCCATTGCCGCATTCTGGAGGGTCTAACAGCTGAGTGAATAAAGAGCTAAATTAATATATACACTCACCAGCCACTTCATTGGGTATAGCTGTTCACCTGCTTGTTGATACAAATATCTAATCAGCCAATCACATGGCTGAAGCTCACTACATTTAGGCATGTAGACATGGTCTAGAAGACCTGGTGAAATTTAACCCGAGCATTAGAATAAAGGCGATTCCAGCAACTTTAAACGTGGCATGGAGCTTTAACAGCTCCCAATCTACTGGCATTTTCCTGCACAACCATCTCTGGGGTTTACAGACAATGGTCAAAAAAAAGACAAAATCTCCAGTGAACAGCAGGACAAAAATTCCTTGTTGATGTCAGAGGTCAATGATCAGACTGCTTCCAGCTGACAGGAAGGGAACAGTAACTCAGATAACTACTTGTTACAACCAAGGTATGCAAAAGAGCATCTCTGATTACTTCATTCAGCAGGAAAACACACCATATCACAGAGCTGAATGTAATGGAACGGGCGATTCACATCATGGATGTGCAGCTGATTAAATCTGCAGCATCTGAGTTATGCTATCATTTGAATGGAGCAAAATCTCTGAGGAATGTTTCCAGGATGTCACGAAGAAGCAGATCTAAAGGCAAAGGAGGGTCCACCCTGATACTAGCAAGGCATACCTAATGAACTTTCCAGTAAATATAGATTATATACGTATGTAGCATTTGGTTGAAAGTATGATGTACCTTCAGAGGTTTGTTGAACAGACAGGCTCCTCCACCGCTGTTCAAGAAGTTATAGTACTCCTCCACATTGCAGTCAGAGAATTTCTTGGGCAGGTAAAAACTGTTCAAAACAACAAGAACGCATCGGGCTGTTAACGCGGACACAAAATAAACCACGTGTGCAGATTTTACTGTGTGCGTGAGAGGGTTTCCTCCCTGCCAACACCAAAGAACAAAAGACTGAAAAAACAGTTTTAAGCACCTTAACCCGTTCAGTCTTTGTATCGTGCATTTACTTAATTACAATTTAGTTTTACACAATTTTACAGTTACTAGTGTGAACTGTTTTTTTATTAATATACTTAAAATTGCTTCTTTTTTACCAAACATAAAACACACTTTAAATATTAGAGGTTTTACGGCAGGTTCACTATACTCACAGTTCAGAGGAGATCCTTATAATAACATGGAGACAGACATTTAGCACAACTGACTCTGTGAACATCGTACGGAGATATGAGCGGGCTGTAAATGGATTCTAAGATGTGCCGTTTTTACGTTGTCCTGGAAAACAAGCCTAATATTATCGATGAGTCATTTTTAAGCCGGCATTGCATTATCATTTGACACTGAAGCCCCAAAAGAACAAAAAGAATATCTGACTAATTTTTTTAATGAGTTGCTCAGAATAGAAATCAAGCTCTGCTGAGAGTGTCATCAGCTCTTTAATTCTCACTGTGATTGCTTCAATTCATTTATAATTAAAGGCTAAAGTCCAGCTGGATGGCACATCCATCCGGACTTCAGTGTCCGATCTCAGCGGAGCTTGAAAATGCTTGGCCAGGCTGATGCTTTTAATGGCATTATCCCAACAGTGAGCAGCACTTAAATATTATTATGTTCTTCTGCACTGTTAGTCTTAATCCTGATTATTCTGCAGGAAAAGGTTAGAGTGGCTCATCAGGCCTGCCAAACCAGACAATGCAATAATGAGAGAGTCGAGGGTGGGAGAGGCTTTGGCTGATGTTTCATGTGTAATGTGACTAAATGAAGCCATCACCAATGATGACGATGGTTATATAAAGAGGAGGTAATGGATGAAGTACACTACAATATTTCTGCAAGTTTTGGGGATTAATAAGGTTCATTGCTGTCCCGGCTCTTATACGGGATTTGTTCTTGAAATCTTGTAGCTTTCATTCCCTTTTAAACATCAAGATGAGGTGAAGCAAAGAAGAAACATGCTTGTGTGATTCCCCAGTTGGTACCACATGGAATAACACTATTATTCACTCTTTATTTCACAGCATGCACACAATATGATCAAAATATGTATTATATTTTTAAAATAGAAATAAAAAGACCACTATAAAAACCAAACTATTTCGCTAGCAACCTTCTTCCTTCCTTCGCTCCGTTACAGTCAGCTTATAACACCTGGTGGTTATTAGGACGCTCATCAGCAGCTTAGCCATTTCTTAATTTCTTAATCTCTGCATTAAAATTGTGAAGTGGGATTTGAGTCTTTGTCGTGCCTGTCTATTCTTGGTACTGTGCGTTTTAGGCTATCTGGCCTCATTAAATTAAAAAATATTAAAGGCTTTAAGGTTGCTCCCTTTGAAATACATATTTTGACCCGGTTTGCTGATGGCAACACCCATTCTCACAGGAGAAGGAAGGAAATAAAAATAGAAAAACCTACAGAATTTAACTGCTACCAAATCCTAACCTAACCTTAATGGAAAATGTGTTTTTTTTAAGAAACTTCAGTTTATACAAGGTGTAGTTAGGATTTAAGATCTTAAGAAAAGCTACTGTATACACTGCATAGGAGCACACATACCCACAGATGGGTGACATATTAAAGGAAAAACCTGAGCTTTGCTGGCACAGCTTTGGGAGCCTTTGGCCCCTTAAAGAAATGTGTCAAATATTGCAAACCTACATAAAGTTGCTCTGACTGATCCTATAAAAAGGCAGAGGCCACTTCCAGGATGAAAACTGTACAAATATCACTGAATGATTTAATGAGTGTGAAAATGATGTGAATCATTTTGCTGTGAGAGACTTGAGTGTTGGACAGCGCTGATTAAAACATCTAACGAGGAAGTCTTTTCATTACTTATCTTGTTTTTCTCTTTCCTTTAATTTGTGTCCCGTCTGTATTTTAACACAAATCCACTCAGACACGCACTCGCGCAACACACAAGCAAACAGAGGAGCTACATCCTGTGAAAAAACTAGTTAAAGGTAGTCAGGTGAAGAAAATCAGACATGCAGGTGCTGAGGGATTAAAAATAAACTTCAGAGGCCGCTCATTGAATACAATCGTCTGAAACACCACTGACTCGATTTTAGGGAAATTACTTGGGTCTGTTCACAGGTGACAGGTTTAAATAAGCACAAAGTCACCTGTCCTCTGTCATGTGACCTTGTGACAATAGAGGAGGTTTATTAAGGTAAGCCAATAGAGCAGGATCTCAGTGTTTGGGAAGTGTACTTGTTGTGTTGTTACAGGAGAATGAGACAAATATTGACCCAAGATGAGAATGACATTGCAGACTGTATCAACTGGATAACGATGAACAAAAATCAGTAATGAGAAGTTTTAATTTTTAAACAGCAGGGTGGAGAAGAAGCCTCTCGGCAATCGGGAAAAACAAATCAATGACATTTATCAGCTATTCAGTCAGTAACATTGCCCAAAAACTGAAAAATACACACTAAGTATGTGATATTTTACAAAGTGATCATGAAAAATACAGCCAGTGTATTACAAACAGGACATCAAGCTGTATTTGTTCATATCATCTAGGTAAAATGAGAAGCCGGGGCCACAGTGGCTGTAGTGCCCTTGGATGACAAAGGGAAAGGTTGTGATGACTGACAACCTCCCTCTGACGCAGCCATTTGGTTCAAAACCAGCACAAGCAACGCTCACAAGCTTCAGCTCACCTGCTGTCCCATTCGGGATGGGGGGGGAATTGTAAGAAGTATATAAGAAGAGAGGTACACGCACACAGACAGACAACACACACACAGATCACACACAGACACTCACAGTGGCATGATGCCAAGCAGGCCTGTGCAGTCCACAAAAATATTTTAATCATCTATTTTCTTATCTAAGCAAATAAGACATTACAGAAGGCCTTTATGCAGAGAAATGCTCAATGTTATATAACAAGAAGATAGCAACTGGAAATTAAACCTGGACTGTCCCCTAGTGGTGAATTATAAAGGTACAAGAACACAGCAGTGAATGACATACATGTAATTTAAATGGATAAATAGATTGATATTTGAGATTTAATTGGTTTTAAATACATAAGAGACACACATGTAAACTTTATGTTTACATATTAAAACACATAGCTTTGACAAGGCAGGATGACACTTATTGATAACTGCAGTTATAGCAATATTTAAGTAAATATTCATACAGGGAAGGGAACGAAAGCAACTTATAGTCTGGGTAACATTGCATCCAACTCCATGCTGTGTCAGAATTTGTTAAAATGCTTTGATGAGACTGAATCATCGGCATCTGTGAGAGTTGACAAGAATTCAGCTGTGAGATGAGATCAGGAAATGCACTTTCAAAAGGAACTTACCCAATGTCATCCATGATACAGCCGGCCCAGCGATCATCACACTTGCATTCACCTGGAAAAATACATTTGTGATATCATCAAAATTGAGTTTTAAGAAGAATGTGTGTTTTTATTATTGTTAGGGGGGAAATTTGACAATATTTACAAAAACAAGTGCAATTCATATGTAGTGTACAGATGTGTAAAATACTGGACACAGTAATAATAAAATTAGGGAGGTTTGGAAAAGAAAAACATAAAAACACATAATGTTGGAGAAGGAAAATGAAAAGACAAAAAAATGCAGGTATTTACATGTGTTTTTTACACATATTTTACTAGTTAACCTCATATTGCAGGAGACGGTTAAAGTTAGATGCCTTTGCATGTGTGTAAATGCATAAATATATAGAAAAGTCCAGAAAAGAAAACTTAAAAACACAAAGCAAACAAGCAAAAAAATATAGTTCTGTGACGTAAGTATAGAAAAAATAAAGATATTAATTATTATAGATAGTATAGTTAATTATTCTATTAGGTTGTAACACATGCCCAGCCATTCATTCCTCCTCTCCTTTTCTGGGGTGCATTTACAAGATATATGAGAATGGAGATGATGAAACCTCAACAAAAAACAAAACAAAAAACAAAAATAACAAATAACAATCAGTGTTAAATCTCATGAAGAGCGTGAGAGAAGACAGAAAGGATCATTAAGATTTAACGGTTTACCGTTAAGGATCCTCTTCTTGTCCGAGAAGATGCCGATGTTCTGTCCAAGAGACTGTGCGAGGGTAATGGCCATCTCATTAGTTTTCCCATACTGAAGAAAAAATGCAGAGGAAGAGAGAATGAAGTGAATCAATGAAAAAAAGACCAAGAATCTTTGATTTATTGTAGGAAATCTTGTTGTAAAGCAGAAAAAACAGTAATTAATTTAAATGAAAGAAAATTGAAATTATATGAATCCGATGGTACTTTTCTTTTTCTCATAATTCCATTGATTTTTACAAGATCTCCAACACCACTGGCTAAAATACAGCTCCAAACCATGACAGAGCCTCCACCGTGTTTTATAGATGGCTGTAGACACTCACTGTTGTACCTCTCGCCTGACCCCTACTGAACATATTGAATTGAAAATTAAAAATTGGATAGGTGACTCCATTAGTTGGACCCATGTGCCTAAAGACACCATTTAAAATTAGTTCTTCGCTAAGTTGTTTGTTATGTGTAGACACAACTATGATTCATCCCGTTATTAATGCTTGAATGATTCATAGCTCAGTGTTTAGGGACTCAACAACAAACAAGCAAACAAACAAAAAAGTATTTGTCTGAAAGTGGGCGAAAAAGCAGCCAATGTCCCAAAGAAAACCCTGAAGAAGTATTGCTCAAGACCACGTTAAAAATGGCAAAATATAGAAATGAGGGTTGGTTCAAGACTTTTGCACAGCACTGTATCCCTCATTTAATCACAGAAAACAGTCAGTGTTGGTGGTGATCAATGTAAACTGACCACTGTGATTGAACTCCACGTTGTCTGCATCATTTAACTTTAAAATTATTTAATTTTCACTCACCTCATTGACGCCCCCTCCTTTGGTGAGAGAGCAAACTCCGCCCATATAGGAAGCTCCACCCCAGCTGCTATGAAAGCGAGACCCTCTGATGAAAGAAAGGGGTGTTTTATCAAAAGATGCTGAGTGTATAAGGGGAAAAAAAACATTTTATTTTCCTAACTGTCATACTCACGAGAAGAGGTGAACAGAGTCACATTTCTCCTTGATGAAGTCTTTCCTGTACTTCATGAACTCCTTCAGAGTCACCATGGGGTCATCGTCAATGTTAAATTTGTTGTCAGCTGACCAGGTTTCCATTGCAACGAGCACAATTCGGGTATTAAGTTGTTCCCTGAAAATCTGTGGAAAAAGCAAACTTGATATCAGGAAAAATGTCAAGAAGGTTTAAATACTTGTGTAACAGAAAGTGGCAAAAATATTCGGTTTGATGTGTCATGAGCATCGGCATCTCCAGCTGTTCAATACGACAGTGATCAAATGCTCAGTATGATCCTGCCACCAGACAGCTGCGGCACATCATAAGAAACCAGACAGACAGTAAACAAAGGTAACCGTCTGAAGGACACAGTGGGAGCAAACTCTGCTGTAAATAATAATGTTTGCTTTCATAAGACGCAAATCTGCAGGTGCCTCGGGCCAGACAAACACCGGAGGAGAGCAAAGTGTCTGCATTCAAAATAAATGCTAATGGTTTGTCAGTGCAGGGATGGAGGGGTCAGTGTGCATGATTTAATCCCATTGTGGCCCCTACAAACTCAAACTATCTGCCTCTGCTGGTGCATCTGTGTGGAGAGTTCACTGCTGCCAAAAGTGCAGAAGGAACAATACCCACAGACACTAAGCCTGCTCCAGACCATTGTTGCGTTATTTCTTTTCCAGCTCTTATTCCAACATTTCTTCCAGGTGTATGCTATAGTGTTTAGCATAGATGAAAGAAATCAATGCGTGCCTCCTAAATAAAGCCTGCTTCATATGATCTTCTTCAAGGGCACAACAAAAAGCATGACCTTTCTCCAGCTTCACCAGCCTCTCAGCTTACAGACATGACCCTGTCCCAGCTCAGATTTCAGTAATACAACACACAGACGTGGCTACAAATAATCAAACACTTAAAATCTGCCTCTGAGCTGTTGGGATGCCACCACTGCTTTTGACATCCAGTCATCTGAAAACCTCATAACTGGGCGGTTAATGGCTGCTCGCGGCATATTATGGGCCAGGAGAGGCTTTAAATGGGGAGAGTGAGGTTGGTTAAATGAGAAATCAGTGCAGCGTGCGCTCGACTCCAGTACCTGGGAGTGCTTGTGGCAAGCTTTCCAAGAAGCGGATCGATACAGTTCTTACCATGTCAGCGATATTGACCACTGTCTTAGCGTTGTTGTTCGTATGCCCGACGGAAAGCCGGTGCTTCTTATACTGTAGAAAGAAAGAAAAAACAAAGAAAGAGAGACAAGAAGGATAAATTAATATAAATGGGTTTCATAATCTGGAACAAATTTACTTTAAGCCATTTTAATGCATGGAAGAAGCCTGTGTCTGCACATTGGATTCAGTCTTAATGTTGCTTTTATGATATAAAAACAAAGTCAATTCCATTCCAGTGGATCTTAGTTGATCAGAATGTTTTTTCATGCTCAGTAAAGGCAGCGTTTGAAGTGCATGCTCTTACTTTGTTTACAGCCTTGACTCTCAGCCCAACCAGCTTCCTGTAGACTCTGAGCTATTTAAAAGATGTTTTTCTTTTAACAAAACCCAAGAAACCACACAACCAACAATGGAATGAGTCTAATTTCATACATGTCTTAAATCCAAAGCCTGACATGCTTCAACTATTTCTTCCTGTTTCAGTATTCATCAATCCATCTTCTTCTTGTCCAATTCAGGGTCATATGGGTGGGTGAGCCATCATGCAAACGCCACACGGAACATCTTTATCCCGCTAGCAGATTCAAACCCATGGCCTTTCTTGTTGTGATGTGACAGTGGTAACCACAGGACCACCGTGCAACCCCCTGTTTGACTATTGTTTACTGGAAATGGTAACGCCAAGATTTACGTGAACATCTATCTATGTGGATGACCACATGAATCTTTCTGCAAAATTAATTTACAAGAACAAGTGTATATGAGTCCAAACTTTTCCATTTTAGCTGTATTTTACATCTTTGAAGCATAAAATGTAAAATGAATTATTACGACTCTTAATATTGACAGAATTGTTTGGATACGCAGTCCTGTGAAAAACTAAGTACACCCTTTCTGCCTTCATAGGAATTAAGATGATAAGTAGCAGCCAGGTACTGATACTCAAATGGAATTTAATAATTGATCATCACCAAGTGTGAGCACCTCTATAAAAAGCAGACGTTTTGGCACTTTGCTGGTCTGAGGCATTCATGGTGTGTGTCAAAACAATGCCACAATCTTCCCAGGAGTGGACGACGCAGCAAATTCAACCAGAAGAGCAGATTTTCTAATGCTCGAAGACATTTAAATCTACAGCCTCAGTTAGCATGTTAAATGTCAAAGATGACTGAACTTGGTGTGTTTGGAAGGGTTCCCAGGAGAAAGCCTCTCCTTTCTAAAAACAACATGGCAGCACGGCTAAGGCTTGAAAAGCTGAATCTCCTTTAGAGAGACGAGACCAAAGCGGAGATGTTTGGCTGTCATTACGGCGCCACATTTGGAGAAAACCAAGTAGCGCATCAGCAAAAAAGCACCTCATACCAACTGTGAAACACGGTGGTGAAAGGGTGATGATTTTGGGCGTTTTGCAGTAACGGCGCTTTGGCAACTTACAGTCATTGAGTTGACCATGGACTCCTCTTTATACCAAAATACTCTAAAGTCAAGTGTGAACCTAGACTTTAACCCCAAACCCATGAAATGCTGTCATATGACTTCAAGAGAGTTAGGCATAAAGGGACGTCTGCAAACTTCAATGAACTGCAACAATATTGCAAACAAAACAGTTTTTAGTAAATAAATACAGTCTCTGTGTAGTATTTTGTGTTGCTGTGCACCTGAGGTTGAAATTAAATAATTTTAAACCTGATAAGCACCAACTGAGTTTTATTATGACCTTCTAAGTAAGTCCGTAGAATTGAAAAGGGATGTGCACTCTTTCTACTATGACTGTTTGTGATGCGACAGTCAGACAGTCGTGATAAAAAGTGACGCTTCACACCTGCATCACTTCAATCTAGAGAGATTTGTGGTCAGTGGGCCAGCATAACACGATTTCTGGCTTCAGGTCACATTCATGTCTATTTTTTGTAGTCTCTAATAAGCTTACCATTAAATGGTCATTGATCACCATCAGCTCGATGTATTTGGTCTCATCTTCTACACTTCGTGACAAACGTGGAGCCTGAAAAGAGACGACAGTTTTATCATATTAACGGGAGGCAGACGCCATCTTTTTCTAAATAAAAAAATTAAAGAGAATTTCAAAAGAGTACAGTAAAAACAAAGGTCAACTCGAGGCTCAAAGAAAAATAAATGAAAAATCAAAGAGCATCGGCTTAGCAAAAGCCAAACCAGGTTTGTCTGTGAGCCCAAATCAAAGTAAATATGAACGCAGCTTTCAGGGCTGAGAAACAGACAGCTGCAGACACCTGACTATGTCTGAGAAAAGGCGAGGAGGGAAGCAGCCTCTACTTATAAGATAAATATTTCATGAAACCGAAGAAGACGAGAAGAGGAGAAGAGCGGGCTGGAGAGCTGTTGAGTGGGAGGAACGCTTGGAAACAGCGCACTCTTTATGAATTAACATAAAACATATTGACGGAAAGCAGTGTAATCAAGACAACAGCCTTGGTAGCATAATTATCTCTCTGTCTTACACTCATGCAGGCATGCACAAAATATAAGCATCTGCACGCCTCCGCTGCTATTGGTGATCATTTTCCTCTGCCATCTGAGCAGCTGTGGTTCAGGTGGTAGAGGACTGTCCGGGGCCGGCGCTTCCTTCCCCGGTTACTATACTGCCTAAATATCCTTGGGCACACTGACTTCAAGCAGCTCTCAATGGCAGTCAAGCTGCCACCATTAGTGTGTGAGTGTGTAAGTGTGTGTGCGTGGATGGGAGACAGATTTTAAAGCACTTTGTAGCACCCTTCTAAGGTGAAAAGACCCTGCATAAGTGCAGACCGCTTTACCATTTAGTAGACTCATACCTGTCTCTTTTTCCTCCTGTGCACAACTTTTGACCCTGGAAATGGAGGGCTGGGAAAAGGTGGTTCTGGTAGAGTGCCTTATAAACAGACGGACACACATTCAGTATGTAAGATTAATTAAAGCACATCAGAAACCTGGTCAGTACATGAACCATCAGCTTACCACCAAGGAGATCGTTAATTGCCTCTTCACCGGCAGATTTGTAGATCATGTGAATGCGAATATCCCCCTAAAACACACATGCACAGAAAAATAATTATCCAGTTAATCAGCGAGACAGATCAGAGCCGAGTGACTTTTCAGTTTCAGGGCACAGACCGATTCATCTGCTTAAGAGAGAAGTGACGTCAAAGAGAATGGATAGAGCTTCTTGGTAAGTTGTAGTACCTTACTAAAATATTAATACCAATATTATAAGTTGATAAGAACAAAGGATATTAATCAGCTCTGTTCATTTAAAGCAAACTCAGCAAAGAAAAATGAATTCCGGTTTAGCTGTATTAATGACCTGTATGTGGTGATTACACATAGACACACCCTAGTGTGGTTTCATGAATTCTTATGCCTTACTTTATTTTATTTGTAGTTTGTTTGTTTGTTTATCATTTTATCTACCCTTTATTTGCTTCATTTTTTTATCATCCGCGTGGTTAAGTTTTTTGTTTCCACGTAAAACTTTAAGAATCACAGACATAAACGAATAAATAAAAATACTTTAGAACATGAGTTAAAGGGTGTGTTTACCTCCTGTGAGTCAGCTCTGAGGGCGGAAACACCCCGAGCTCTGCGGAGGGCACATCCTGTTTACTCTCCGAGCTACTGTACGAGACTCGGTTTGTGTTCAAGTATGTAAAGGAGAAACAGGCTGAGATGTTACCGACTTCACTGTAAACGTAGCTCAACAAGGTATAGTACCCTTCAGTCAATGTAGTTAAAGTATGAAAATAAATCGGCGTCAACAGGTTGCGGTAATGCTACCTCTTTAGCTTGTAGCTAGGTGGCTAATTAGTTAGCGAATTCGGAGTTCACATTTTCTACTAAGTTCTTCGTATTGAGTCAGTTGATGTTGACGATCGGCTTTTGTTACTGTTATTAACACGTATTAACAACTTTACAGGCCCTTTGCATTCGTCTGAGCAAAGAGAGCTAGCTGAGGGCTAGCCAAAGTAGCGGTAATTAGCCTAGCTGACTGTGCTATCTGCTAACCAGTTATTACAGAGTTGAGGTCTTTTGTTTACTACCACAATGCACACTGTGTCGGTACTGTATGTATAATTATACTGCTTTGGGTGTAATAATCACTGTGCTATTAACCCTGCTCACGTTGATCGTTAGCATAATCTAGAATAAATAGTTTAGATTCACCGGTCTGTAACAGCTGGCACTTTGAAAGTTACATTTAATAAAACACAATAAGATAGCGACTGAGTAAACGAAAACTGTAAAACAAAATGCTATTGAGACATGTCAGAAAGGTACAGTGATTATTGTTCAGAACATTTGAAGACCCTTCACAGTCCATTCATCCTGACTGTAAAATCCTGTCCGCCTCTAGTTTAGAGCCAGGATATCCTGTCAGTTAATCTCAAATCACCTAAAACTGTTTTGGTTTAACATTTTGATATAAATTAAGGATTGCTGTGAAGTTTTTTGTGTAGTCCTGGGAAGTCCCATATTTGAACATCCACCAAAAAATAAAAATGACATTCCAAAATACAGCTGGTGACAATTTATGTGTTGCATATAGTTATACAAAAGAAAACTTGTGAAAGGCTTTTTGATGTGAAATTCTTATTCGTAAAATGAAGAAAATTGAGCAAATATCACAAGTCGTGCCACAGAAAACAAAAATATCAATAGATAGTCCTAACCGAACAGAAAAAAGTTCTAGTTGAGTTTCCAGATGGTACTCTAATTATAACTGAGTAAATAATACATAAATTTGTTTTATCCTGGAGGAGTTTTTTGATTCAGGTTAAAATTTCAAGCTCAAATTTCTCTAAACGAAAAAACAAAACAAAGCCTTTGATATATGAAGCTATTTCACCACAACCCAAGCTTTGGCCATAAAATTATGAAGCAGATCAGAGATGGTTGAGCAGAAAATGTTGAAAAAATTTGTTGATTTGAGGTGGAATGACCCGGTAATTTAAACAGCTAGTGCACCTGGCTGCACCTTGATTTTTTTAGACCGTCAATGCCACAAGGAATTGGCCCATAAAGTGCTTTAAACATACTCAGTTAGACCCTGATAACCTTCAGAGATGAGATGAAAGTGGCAATAAGAGCTCTTTTTTTAAGATGATAAAATAAAAAGCAGTTGCAAGTTGCATTGTCTGAGTCAGTCACTGTTGCATGCGTCATATAAAGTTCGAGCCTTGCTCATTGTTCAGTTGCACAGTAATCTGTGTAATGCACTGCTGTATAGACACTCCTGCAGTGCAGCCTCAGTCATCGAGTCATTCCCACTTTGTTTGCTGGTGAAATGAGAGCATTGTTTCTCAGGGACAGCAGATATTGGGTCGACCACACTGTGGTGAATTGAAATACAGGGGGGTTGCCCATAGCTAGGTCAGCGTGTGGCACAGTTAGCTTGCTTCTATAAAGGAATGGGGCCATTCAGATAAACTTGTATAACCACGTTTTTCAGGAATTCTGTGTCCATCAAACTGATCAGTTGCTGCTTTCTGTCTGACTTGTGTTGTTTATCCAGGAAAACGGAAACTCCCCTGTCAGCAATAACCAGCCATGTCGTGCCGGGACATCCACGCCACCAATGCTTTTGCCTTCATCATTGCTATTTTGTCTGTAGGTGGGCTCACAGTGGCAGCATTAATTCCGCAGTGGCGCGTAACGAAACTCGTCACCTTTAATCGTAATGCCAAGAATATCAGTGTGTATGATGGGCTGTGGGCTAAATGTGTGATGCAGGATGGCTATTCAGGATGCCTCTACTATGATTCAGAGGTATTGCTTGATCTATTCTGCTTATGTTTTGTTTTTTAATTCTCCGGTGTTTATAATAGTCCCAGCATTAATTATATATTATTATGTTTCCAGTGGTATTCCAAGTTGGATCAGCTGGATCTGCGGCTTTTGCAGTTCTGCCTTCCCACAGGCCTCGGTTTCGGCATTTTAGCCTTGCTGCTGTCCATGACCGGGATGTGTAAAACCTGTTGCTGCTCAGACAAGCCTGAACCGGACATTAAAACAGTTAGATGCCTGGTGAACAGTCCAGGTTGTCACCTGGTGGCCGGCATGTTTTTCTTCCTGGGCGGCGCAGTCCCCATTGCGCCCTCCGTGTGGTTCCTTTTCCGCACCAAGGAGATGAACGCTAGATATGCCAACATCTTCTCTGATGGCTTTGCTGTGTATACATCTATAGGCTGTTCTGGAGGACTGATGCTAGCCGCACTGCTGATGTTCATGTGGTACTGTATGTGCAAGAAGCTGCCTTCACCTTTCTGGTTGCCCATGTCCACGTCCAACTCCATGTCGACCCAGCCTCTAATTGCCAACGCACATTCTCCTGCCTCAGTTTATGTTCCGCAGCCTTTCCCACCACAGACTTTCCCTCCTACAGTAATTAACGCCCAACCGCATGTGCCCGCGCAGGGCTACGTGCAAAGCGTTATCGCACCTGCTCCACCACAGGTGTATGTGTCTCAGGTTTCTGCACCGAATGGCTATGGATCAGAGGTTGAAGGAAACCACGCCTACGGCTACGCGCCCTCACAAAGTTACGCTCCCTCGCAGAGCTATGCCCCCTCGCAGAGTTACGCTCCCTCTCAGGGGTACGCATCCAGCTATACAGGCCACCGCTACTCCACCCGCTCACGGATGTCAGCAATAGAAATTGATATTCCTGTGCTGACGCAAGAGTAGTGAAAGAGGAGAGGCTGATAACCTCATCACTTCTGTCCATGAACCTCTATAAATTTCACCACTGATAAAACTAACAGAGTTTGATAGATGGAAGGTAATGACCTGAGAGCTATTTACAGCTTCAAGAGTAATAGTTTCAAAAATACTGTCAGTCAGTCCAGGCCTGTGAACTGCTGATGGCAGAGGATGAGAATCGGTAGAAACAACCCTGGATGTACCACATGAAGGATGAGATTAACCTCAAAACTAAAACACTGCATTCAGTTTAGTATTGTTTTTAAAAAAATACTTGTTTCACTGTTTTTTTATATCAGAGTATGAGCACTAAATAATAGTTTATTCCTTGCTGAAGTGGCCAATGGACCAACCTAATTTTTCTAATTTTCTGTTACATTTGTGCTTGACACTTTATCCTTAATTTCAAGTGACTTTTGCTTGTGTAAAGCTTACAGTATGAGGATTGTCTGTTATCACTGCTGAAGTGCATTATGGACTGCAATTAACTTTGACTTCTGTGTCCTGAATGGACAACTACTCACCTGTTTTTGTTCTAACACGAAGTGTGTAATGAACTGTCACTTTGAAGAGCAGCTGTCATTTCTTTGTTAACTGCACTAAGTGTGTCTATAATGTGCCTGGTTTAATTGCCATTGTTTACCTATGTTGTTAGCCTTGAGTCTATTTTTTTAATGTAAAGCCTCCTATATAGTACTTAATCATTTGATAGAGCGTACTTTTCCAAGGTATTTGTGTCAAAAAACATCAAAAGGTGCCACTAATAAACCTTTTAGCTGTGTTCAGTCTGATGTACAAATGCAGTTAACATTACTGTATTGTCAGAAACACTAAGACATCTCTAGTGTGGTAGAAAAAAAACTTGCTAATGTAGCTGGAAGCACTGATTAAGGCTGTAAGTCATGATTAAGCCACATTTGTTGCCTTCTTGCAGGTTCTGCGTATGAAGTACAGATCTTTATGTGATTCTAAAGTGAAAATGTCAAAGAAACATGCTTTTCTACACTGTTTTTGTTTTAAATAAAACATAAATCACACTGTAATCACGTGCTTCTCTTTTTATACAAGCTGCAAACTCACACAGTTATCTATTTAGCCAGTCATATGGCAGCAACTCAGTGCATGTAGACGAGGTCAAGATGACCCTGTAAAGTTAAAGATTTGCTTCATGGATGTGCAGCTGACAAACCTGCAGCAATCGCGTGATGCTATCAAGTCAACAGGGACCAAAATCTCTGAGGAATGTTTTCAATACCGAGGGGTAGACCAAGTACTAGCAACATGTACCTAATAAAGTGGAATAGTGGTTAACATACAAAAAGTCCCCAA